CGATACGCCGATATTTTCCGATTCAATAACCATGTCCAAACATCATTATCTAGATTGGTTGACTCTTTGTGAAATTTTAATTTGGGGCCAAATATCACTATTTGCCAATGCTTTGTTCAACATCGAATGATCATTTTTCTACTTTCCCTTGACTATTTTACCTCATATAAATACATTAGTTCTTACATTTGGCACTTTTCATTAAATTTATAAAAGGCAATGATAAAAACCATCATCCTCGCATTATCCAACTCTTACCACTCGTCGTAACTAAGTCTCGTTAGACTTTGATGAATTAAAGTATCTCGAAACAATTAATTTTTTTTTTTTTTTATTATTTCTTCATTCGAATTTCAAATCGAGTCTTAGTCTATTTATGTATTCTTTCTAAATTCAAACAAAATTGAAAATAAAATATATTCATAGGTTTGATACTTTATCTCGAACTCACGTTTGAAAGAAATATTCGATCACATAAAGTCGACAACTTTTGTACACAGGTGTTTCCACGTTTTGAATACTGAAACTCCATGACACATGTCTGAAATGTTCTAGGGTCGTTTTCGTAAATACCTAGAAATGTTGGGGATATTTCTAGTATTGATGAAAAAACAAAAACTCGTTCCTTGCCAAAAAAAATAAAATTGTATTTAAATAAAGACTCGAAATTGCATATGTTTAAAAATGTCATTTTTTTTACTTATGCATTTGATATTTTTTTTTATAGATACTAATCCTATAATGAATTTTGTGCATTGATAATGCGGATGGTGACTTGTAAGTTGAAAATAATTTGTTGATACGCATCAATAATTGACGATAAGCATGTCTTATATTATTTTTTAGAATTTATGAATCTATACCTACATTTTAATATTTACACTTTCCCATGTTCCCATATATATCCCTTTTTCTGGAATATTGGATTTCTCCATATCCATTTTTTCCGTTTTGCAATATTTGCGTTTTTTATGTATCGGTGCTACATAGGAAGTGGGTTAATTAAAATTCACAGGTGAAAAATAGTAAAAACGAAAACATTCACTCCTATTTTGTATCTTGAATTACTAATTGGTTGAATAATGGTTAATTCGATTTTGTTCCTTTTGAATGATAATAGAACAAAAGTACTCTAGAAAAGTTCATAGGATTAGAGGAAATCTTCTCTTTGGACGAAATGTGCAACGAAAAGGCAAAATAGGTTTAAAAATGCAAATATACATCGATAGCTAAGTACAAAAATGTCTAATTTGAGTTATATAAACTAGCATTTTTTTTCCCGTGCGATGCACGGGATATTATTTCAAAAGTGAAAAAAATAATCAATAATACATAATAAGATAATATAGTATACTAACATAGTAAAATTTAATAATGTAGTATTATTCATATTTTATATAACATTAGTTTTTTTAAATCTGACATATTAAGATTTATAATTCAAATATATAGATTAAGATTTAACGAATCGAATTTCTATCTTTATCTCTTAATATTTAAGATATATAGATGAAAATAGGAGATTGATAATTGTTGAAAATTATAATTAAAAAATTAGTAGACAAAAAATATTAAAAATAAATAATTACAAAAGTACCATTAGATAGGATTCTTCAGGATTTAGTTTCAGTTTTGATAAATTTAGTTTCATTTTTGATAATTGTTAAAAATTATAGTTAGAAATTAGGAAAGAAAAAAATATTAAAAATATTTAATTACATAAATAACATTAGGGTTTTTTAGGGTTGCCCAGCGTTTTTTTCTTTTATAATATTTGAGTAATGTAACAAGTAACAAGTACAAAAAAGGTTCATCGCACTCAACTTTATAAGGCAAAAAAATTTGGATAATAAATTAAAAAAATAGTGAATTTTCAAAAAATCGTTATATTTCATAGAATTCAATTAAGATATTTTTTATTGATTGGATTCAAAGAAAAAGAAGAACCTGCGAATCTTTTATTTGTGAGTTTTTACTTTCAAATGTTTAAATTTGTCGGCGGCTACTCAAACATAAGAGCATCTCTAGCTTCATTATCGATAAAAAAAACACTCTAAACAATATAATTCACGGTTATTTCTATCCTACGTCCGAAGAAGATTACATCAGTTGGTTTTTTTACTGTTCATCTACACATATAAATGTAAATACATGTGTGTATATAAATAATAAAAATCCAGCGAATATAGTATAGAACGGGGCCGTGATTCATATGTCACCTACCCAATTCACTCACTCTTTAAAGGTGAGACTCCACTTAGACACTCCCTATATAAAAAAAAGTGCTACAATGTACATGTTTATACTCCCTAAAATTTTGTCCATGTTTATTAAACAATAATAAAATATGCATTAATTAAATATAATATTTTTATTACAGTTTGCATTTTATAATTAATTACATAAATTTTGTATAAAACTCCATATTAACTTAATTAAATATTTTATTATCTCTATTTTTATCATAGTATCATATTGTAAAATATATTATTTTATTTTATTCATATCTATATTTATAGCGACAGTAAAAATATTCAATTGTTTACATAAACCCAAATAACATAAAATTAACAAAATACATAATAAATTATGATTTTTTTTAAATAATAAATAATAATAAGTTGAACTTATTGGAACATCCCTCCAAATATAGTATAAAATATAGATTGAAGAAAAAAAAACTTGTAGACAATAATTTTAATTTTATTTCTAATACAATTTAAGATATCTATTTGTTGTTTAATGATCTGAGATTTACCTTCATCTACTCATATATAGGTACTGATTCAGGATTCATCATCATTATTTCTTGTTCATGTTGTTTTTGTTAGTGTTCTTGTTTTGCTGTAATTTCAATTCTTTTTGTTTTCATTTTAACTTGTAATTATGCTATTCTATTGCATTTCTCCTAATAATCTCCTATTCAAAGCAACTTGATTGTCATTTTCTCACACTTGAAAACTCATCCAAAAATAAATCAATGGAATCGAAGTTTTTCTTCTTGTAGCAATTTTTGGAGTTTGTGAGCCATCATTAGATACTCCATCATCATTTTCATAGCTGATTGAACTTGGTGTTATAGGTGAGACATATTAATCAAATGATAGAGTTTGAGTATTTGACGAACACTCAATTTCATCATCATCCAAATCAATTTCAAAATCATCCAAATTTATATTTTCAGATCATGACCTGAGATTAAAATAATTATTATGCAAAAAAAAAAAAAAAAGAGTATCCTTATATATACTAATATAATTTTGTAATAAGAATTTTTTATCAAAAAAATCCTATAAAAGAAAAAAAGCATACCTTTTCATCTAGAAATAACTAGCAATAAATTAATATACATCCAAACTTGCAAACCACAACACAAAACTAATAATAATTTGCTCAAAGATTCTCTCCTACAAAAATGGCCTTCACGTGATACAGTGCATTTCTCTCTCTCTCCAAACAATGACAAAGAAAGAAGTAGAATACAGCCTGCCTATCTATGTATTGTATCATACTATGAATAAAAAGTAGAATGTACAAAAACTTAGAATATATTGCTATTAGAACCCATTCCTCTCTCTCTCTCCTCTCTCTCTCTCTACACATAAATACAAAAATAACCCAACTCACAGTTACCCCCACAAACATTGCCTTTTCCCAGCTACAAAAGCTACAGCAATCAATTCAATTCAACTCAATTCAATTCTTTCTTCAATCAAAAAAGATAAAAAAAAAAAAAAATGTGTTATGTGGGTAAAGCAACGAAGATCTTCATCTTCATAGTGACAGTTTTGGCTGTGACCGGACTTCTATTGGGATTTGGGCTGCTCAGGAAACACGTTCATGGCGATTCCCACAAATGCTCTTCCGATTCATGCCCCGAGGCCACCCCTCTCATTTTCCCCTCTCCAAATTCAAACCCTAGTAGCTCCACTTTCAAGCCCACTCCTTCTACCAATCCTAATCCATCCCTAACTCCGGACCTGCCTCCGCCGCCGACCGATAATCCAGGCCAAAATGTTCCGGATTCGCCTCCGCCTCCGACGACATTGTCTTTGCCGCCGCCGCCGCCGCCGAGCGACAATCCAAGTCCAAGTGTTCCTGATTTGCCTCCACCTCTCCCAGTGTCGCCCCCACCGCTAGAGTCGTACTCACCGCCGCCGCCTGTGGTGGTTCCCGAGACGCCGCCGCCTCCTGTGGTGGTTCCCGAGGCGCCGCCGCCGGTGTTCAGTCCTCCTAGCCCGGTAGTGCCCGTAACACCAGGTCCAGTGAATAATTCTTAATTCTGCGATTGTATTCATTTATATTATTGATTAATTGAATCAAATTGGTTGATTTGTACAGTAGAATTGAGATTTTGTTTTTCTCTTTTGTTTTTCAAGGATGTTCTAAGGATTCAATCCCCTTTCTACTCATAATTTTACCAGGAATCTTTAATTCAACTGATAGAGAGATATATTTGTAGTTTTGTTATACTATATATATTTTTAATTATAATACTTGAATTTCATTTAACAAGAATTTATTTTACCACTTAATTCGTGTATTGTCTGCATAAATGAGCTTAGTCGGCTCGACAAAAGCTCAGACTCGAACTTGAGCTTTCTGACGAGTCGAGCTTGAGCTCATTCTTAAAGGGTGTTTGGCTAAGCTTATTTCAAATAGCTGATAAACTCTTACGTTGTTTTTAGAGCTGATAATCTGTTACATCTTATTTTTATGATTAATTTTTAGAGTGTTTGGATAATGAGTTTATTTCATATTTTTACTCGTTACAAGATCTTAAATAAAAAGGTGGGGTAGATGTACTTATTTAAAAATATCTTATTTCGTCTCCAACAGCTTATTTAAAAAAAAAATTAACATCTTTTTTTAAAAAATTCCCAAACATTTTGAAAGAGCTTATAAGCTCTAAAACATCTTATAAGCTCTTTTTAACATCTTATAAGCTTAGCCAAACACCCTCTTAGTTGTCGCGAGCCTTTTTTTAAATCTTAATTTATTTATTTTCATTTTAAATATATTTTAAAATTAAATAAAAAATTCATATAAATAATTAAAAAAAAACTACAAGTCTTTTTTCATATTTTTTTATTATAATTTATGATAAAAAAATATAATAATATTAATAAAAAAAGGGGCATTTAGCAATAAACCCCTTGGATGAATAATAAATGGTGATATGTCCAACCCTTAAATCTGCCTTTGTGATAACCCCTAGAAATTTTAATTCCAATACTACCCTTAAGAAATTATAAAATCTCTTACACAATAATTCATCCCACCTTCCTTAATAATAGCCAATATAATAGAGATATTTCCCCACTCAATATGCTGCATGCGTGTGTATATATATATATATATATATATATATATATATATATATATATATATATATATTATAAATTCTTTTTAAACGAAAAATTGAATTTTTTCCCCGAATATGACTATAGTTGAATGACTATAGTCTAATATGAATGTGACAATATCAACTGTAGTCATATTCTTTCTTTATATTGTCATTTTTACATTTTCAACTTAATAATTCTGATTATATAGTAGAGTACAGTTATTTTTACCAAATTATATATAAAAAAACGAAAATTGCACGAAAAAAAAATACAATTTGAATCTTATTATTACACATCAACTTGAATGAGAAGATAGAAAATATTTGAATATGACTACAGTCACATTCAACAATAGTCATATTCGAATATGACTATATCATGTTACTGTTATTTTTTTATGGGAGATAGTTCTTCGAAATGCTCGGGGATGTCCTTGTTAATTCCTCTTGAAGACTGGGCGGCAAATTCCATCAAAATTGCAGCAACAAGAAGCAAATCTGTATGAACCAAACTCAAATTCATAAAACAAAAGGCAATGAGAAAAAAGAGAAAAAAAAAATGCAGATGCTAAACATTCATTAACATAAACATACTATTACATACAAAAAAAAAGAAAAAAGAAAAAAAAAAATTCCTTCCGAATTTTCAACATTCTTGATGCTGCTCAAATTCTTTTTGTAAAGATTAAGGGAAAAAAAATTGAGATACCTACTAAATTCATAATTGCATTCGATAACGCCAAAATCGACGAAATACCTTTCCCTCCACCCGACATATCCTCTCCTAGAAGCAACTTTGCAAAATTCTCCTTCATCAATTCCATATCTATATTATCGCCACCAAAACAAACGAAACATAATCGGAAAAACCATTTTTTCAATCAGAATTCAAAAAACAGAAAAAAATAACGAAACATCGAAAATAATTATAAACAAACTTGCCTGAATGCCTATCTTTTGCAAGAGGGTTGGGAGTACTTGAATTATTATTTGAATAATTATAAACAAACTATATCATGTTACTGTTAAGTTTTTATGGGAGATAGTCTAATTTTCAATTTTTTGATGTCATCCAATCATTTTTCGCGTACTAGTATATCCCGTTTTCCGTTCAAAACACCCCACCATTTATCTAACCTTGTTACTATCCCATCATTCAGACAAAACAACAATTATTAGAGATTACGACTCGGAAGAAAATCTGAAATTCATAGAAGTAGAGAAAACACCAATTTTCAAGATTCCCTATTGTTTACGAAAACAATCCAATCAACATCCACACAAAAAACATAATTTGAAACGAGAAGATAGAACATACTCAAATATGACTACAGTCATATTCAACAAATAGTCATATTCGAACATGACTATAGTCATGTTTAATCATCTGGAGAAAAAAATTAATAAATAAATAAATAAACCGTATTTGTTTTCCCTTTCAATTTCAATTGCCACTTGAAATCAAACTCATTTGCAAAAAATAAGAGCAAAAAAAGAAGAAATTAAACACATGACACCTCATGGTTGATTCTGCAGATTTTCACAAAATAGAATCGAATCTTGGCGGCAGTGGCAGCAGCACTGGCGGTGGAGGACTCAACAACCGCGGTTGCGCCCTCAGATCGGGAATTTCACCGCCGCCGCCTTTTCCATCGCCTCCCGCGTCGTTGTTGTTTCTCCACCGTTCATCGATTTGCGTGCACTTGCCTAGCAGTTGCACCTTCTCCGGCCGCCATCGTCAACCTCCCGTCGCCGACGCCGAGAGAGATTGAGAGGATATAGATACGGAAATTGTGACAGAGAGAAAAACGAGAATTGTGGGTTTGAGATCTAGGGTTGTGATGTGTACAAAAAGGGTAAAATAGGGATAACATATTTTTAAGGGGGGTTTCACTAATTTAAATTGACATTTGGGTTTTGAAAAAAGTCTTCAAAGTCAATTGGGTTTAGTTCAAAATATTTTTCATTTGAGGGGGTTATTGCATATTTCCCCATAAAAAAAAGGGTAATGACAAATAGGCCCATGACAATGGCACTTAATTAAAAGAGGGACATCCAATTTTTTTGTCTTTCAAATAAATCCAGTTCATTCAAACTTATTTGCAAATAAGGAAAATCCTTTTATATATACCAAAATTACCCCAAATTCATTGAAACCAATTCAATTCCAATTTCATGATTTACACCCCAATTTAGCCAAATTTCATCAATTAACCAATTTTAACCCTAATTTCAATTTTAACCCCAATTTTGACCCGCCACCACCGGTCTCCGGCGTTGACTTTTTTTTTTTTTTTTTTGAAAAACCATTTTTTTTTCCTGAATTTTTGTTCCGGCCGGTCAACTGCCGTTGACCGCCAGGTCTCCGGCGTTGACTTTTTTTTTTTCCTAAAAAAATATTTTAATTAATATTACTGTCTTGGCTGCTAAATTACTGTCTCCGGCAGTTATTTAACTGTCGGAGACAGTAATTTAACTGTTAATTGACTTTTTTTTTTCTTCAAAAATATTTTAATTAATATTACTGTATTCGTTGCTAAATTACTGTCTCCAACAATTATTTAACTGTTGGAAACAGTAATTTAACTTTTAATTGACTTTTTTATTCTTAAAAAAAATATTTTTAATTAATATTACTGTATTCGTTGCTAAATTACTGTCTCCAGCAGTTATTTAACTGTCGGAGACAGTAATTTAACTGTTAATTGACCTTTTTTTTTTCTTAAAAAAATATTTTAATTAATATTACTGCCTTGGATGCTAAATTACTGTCTCCAACAGTAATTTAATTGTCTTAGACAATAATATTAAATATATTAATGTTCGGGAAAATAATATTCATAATATTACTGTCCCAAATAGTAATATTACTGTCTGAGACAGTAATTTAGTAGCCAAAACAGTAATATTAATTAAAATATTCTTTTTTCTAAGAAAAAAAAATTAAAAAAAAAAAAGTCAACGCCGGAGACCGGCCGGAAAAAAATTTCAGGAAAAAAAAAAAAAAGTCAACGCCGGAAACTGTCCGGAAAAAAAATATTTCAGAAAAAAAATTATTTTCTGAAAAAAAAAAGTTTTGGGGGTTAATGTAATATATTTGTTTAAATCCGGGGTAAATGTGTAATATTAAGGAAGTTAGAGCATAATGGGTGGAATTGATAAGAATTATATTATTGAGGGTATTTTAGACTAAACACATGGGGATGGGTTTAATTGAGAGACTGTTTTTTTTGTGGACCAAAATGCATTTAAGTCCCATGTGATGGGCCTTGTTGCCATTCGCCCATAAAAAAAATACACAAAGGCTTAGGATCGAGCTCGAGCCAAAAAAAAAATACTCGAGGAGTTCAAGCTCGTCACAATGGATTCGAGTTCGGCTCATTTACACACATAATCTCCATTTACACTCCTAGTCGCGACTTCAGTTACTTGGGCCCTATATTTTATATTTGTGGATATTTCGAAGCTCAGTCCCATTTTTTGGAAGCAAATTGTTTAGCCATTCTTTAGCTAAATACCATATTTCATTTCTTCTAGGCTTCTAACTCATCCAGATATGTTCTTTTGGATAGTATGTTGAACATTGTACTCAATCATTCTGGTTCTTAATGAAATTCAAGTTTACTCCTCAAAAAAAAAAAAAAACAAAAAAAAAAAAAAAAAAAAAAAAGAGAAAGAAAGAAAGAAAGAAAAAAAGCCCCCAATTTTGTTTTTGAATTTCTTCTATATTTTGGTGGTTGTAATTGGAGTGGGGTCTTGTTTGCATGAGTTGAATTAATTTGTTACCAAGAATGAATGTGGATTTTGCTAATTGGTATTAGTAGAAAAATGGTTTTTTAGTACCATATTTTTTGCTACGGTAAAAAGTCGTAATAAAAGGTATCTTTTATTACGAGAAAATCTCTGAGTCGAAATAAATTATAGGATTTATTT